CGCGGCTCGCCGCGCGGCGGCACAGCCGGCGCTGCGGGCAGCCGCGCCCGCACTGCCGGCGCGCCTGACTTGTTAGCGGGGTCTGCGCACAGAGCTCCTGATTCAGAAGGAACGGTGTCTAGCGCAGGGCCATGCGAGCCGGGAGGAAGGTCGTGTGTGCGCTTGTGAAGTGGCGTGGAGTATCAGTAATTATGTAGTGAAGCACCGCAGGTGCAAAGGGACATGCGAGCGATCGGCTCGACTTCAGGTACAGGGTATCTCTTGATACCGCAGCATCGGGCTGAAGTCGAGCAGATTTTCAGATTAGGTGTCGTTCCAGCTATGTCGTTTGCTGGCGGAGCACTGGATGTCTCCTTTGCTCTTGGGGCGCTTCGGATTTTCGGGCATTTCTATGGTTTGCCTGGAGACCAGGTGTACGATTACATGTTCGAGGATTACAGGCATGTGCTGCTGAACCTGGACTCTTCGCTTTCAGCCCGTGGTCGTCTCGCCCTTAGACCTGTATTAGACCTGCTCACTGCACTTCATGTGGGAGACACTGAGCCGGTCGGTACCGGGGTTCTTCGCGGTGGTGCTCTCGGTGCCTGCTCTTATCAGGAATGGTTGCAGATGTATCCGCAGGACCACGTGAAGTTGCTGCGTTGCCTCCCCAACCTCATGTTGCTCAGCCGCTCGGGGGGCCCATATGAGAGGGCCGTGCACTTCCTCCGCGATTTGCTGCAGCGAGGATTCGAGGACCGCTCTGGTGTGCACTCTCAGGTAGGTCGTGCTCACCTTTGACCCCTCACCGGGTCCCGCAGGCAACAGCATGGCTCAGGAACTTTGGGATAGGCTTCGTGCCACCGGCCTCCAGTCGGTGGCCCTCATTTTGTTTGACCATGGCGTGCGCCAGGTAGACGATATCCTGCCCAATGCTTCTGCACTGTTGGCTGCGGGGGCTCAGGCTTGGCAGCTGGAGACCCTGATTCGGGGGAGCCTCGAGGTGGTTCCTGTTCTCCCACATGGTCGCGCTGATCATCCTCAGGCCCGGCCTCGCAAGCGTGCGTCCTGGGCGGCCGCACTTGAGGCAGCTCAGCCGGAGAAGCGGCAGGCCTCTTTGGCTGCTCTTCAAGCAGACGTGCTTGCAGCTACCACGCGATCTTCGGTAGACAGCCGTGTCAGGGCCTGGCAGGAGCTTTGCCGTGCCTGGGAGAGGGCACCTTTTCCCATCGAGCCGGCCACTGTTAAGTGTGTTGGTGCCAGCCTCAAGGCGGGGGCTACCATTCATGCTCTTTGTATTTTGGGGCAGCCGTGAGCCACCAAATGCGTACCATGGGCACACCCATCGGAGAAGATGTCCGCTGGACCATCCGAGACACGGTGCGAGCCATCAAGCGCGGGCTCGGCCCAGCGCAGTTGAAGGACAGCTTTGATGTTGAGCTCCTTTCTCTCCTGGTGCCGTTTGTGAAAGAGTGTGTCGCTTTTCATTTGGGCGACCCCGCTTCCGAGGTGGACTTGGCCCTCATCTCGGCGTGGTGGATGCTTCGCGAAATCGAGGCCTCGAATGCTCGGGCCCACCATCTTTATTTGACCAAGGACGGGGACTTCCTGGCTCACCTCTTGGTGCCTATTTCCAAGGCCGACACAGTGGGACAGCTGACGGTACGCTCATACTCATGTATTTGCCGGGCACGCACAGAGCGGCTTTGCCCTTACCATGCAGCTGAACGCCATTTGCATAGACTGCAGCTGCTTCGGGACACGGGTGTGCGTGTTGACTTCTTGTTTCCCGCCTCCGACGGCAAGCCCTTGTCCAAGCGCACTATCATACAGGCCTTTGAGCGAGTCATCGCCTCAGCAGGGGTGCCTCTGACCAGGCGCGATGAGTCAGGTCGCGAGATTGCTCGCTTTCACGGGCACACGATGAGAGTGAGCGGGACGCAATTCCTTGCATCCATGGGCTTGAGTGTGCCCATGATACAGTTGCAGGGCCGATGGAGCAGCCGCGCCATTGACAGGTATGTTCAGCTTGCACCTTTGCTGCGCATGCCACACGCCATCAGGATGGCCAGAGCCAGTGGAGGACAGGACGGGACAGGCACGAGCAGCGCGTCGCCAGCAGCGCCTGTGCAGCTTTCGGGACCGATTGTGGTGGGGTCGCCAGCGCCTAGGCCAGCTCCCCCGCCTATCGCCCCGGTGCCCGCTATCGACCTGACTGAGGATGCGGCAGGTGCAGAAGCTCAGGTGACGGCAGCCGAGGTTCGGACAGAGCTTCGGCGATTCATGAAGGCCGTCCTTGAACCTAAGGAGATGCTTGTTGTCCAGCCCCGCCGTAAGGTTTGCTCACGCCATCGGGGTGCCCGAGAACACGAACGACGTTGGGCACTGGCGCACCTCCTGCGGTTGGGCTTATGGCTGGTCATCATTCTATCGCACCCATCGGGACGCGCTCGGGGAGCAGTTGCGGCTGTGCAAGCGGTGTTTTGCCGCACAGGCCGACGGGCCCAGCTCGTCGTCTTCATCGTCTTCTTCTTCGTCGGCATCCGACTCTAGTTAGGGCTGTCAGTTTTTTGAGCTCGCACAGTTTTGGTCGATGTGTGTGGGCAGCTGACCTTAGCCTCCAGGTGTCGTGTTTTCCCAGAGCCTGAACAAGAGAGGCGGATGAAAGCGCCGGCCCGACCGCAGTGCGCACAGGTGTTCTCATGGTCGTGGGGTTTAGGGCTTCGGGGTTCCTTGGTGGTTCCTCGGTTTTGCTCTTCGGGGTTCTTGCCTCGCGCGTCGCTCCTGAGTCCCAACCCTCCTTTGAGATGAATTGTTGAGTCCAACGGCTGCACTCTGCCGTTGGACTCGTCCCAACCCTGTCAGGACACTGCACGCCCGACGGCCACAACATCATCTCCATCGTCTTCCTGGGGCTCCGGTCGGTTGACCCAACTTGACTAGGCCCCGAGGGCCGACGTTGGGTCGTGCGAGACCCTCGTCTTTCTCCATTGCGGCGTCATGTGAGTTTGACGCTAGGTGTCAGAGGTGCTTGGCGCAGTTGGCCGCCCAGCATCGTGTGCCACATCATCACAGGTTGACTTTTTCACTTCGCTCGAGGCCCGTTCGCAGCAAAAGTCGCAGCCGTGCCGAGCCACTACAGCGGTTGCCTTGGTGCCTCAGTGTTCAGTCTCAGTTGTCAGGAAGCCTTGGTTCGGACCTCAGCTTTCGGCCCCGACTTTGTGTTTGCTCGTAGTTCCCCGCCTTGGCGTGATGGCCGGCGCGGGCGGTCAGCCTGACACTTTAGAGAGCTTGGCCAACTCAGCCGGGGTTTCGTCCTACTTGGTACGTTACCTCACTGCCAGAGGGCTGGTGAGCATCGGGGCAGTTGCTCTCCTGGCCTCGACGGCTGAGGAGTTTTCCAGGACCTTGATAGAGCCATTGGCGACAGGTTGGGGCAGCCCTGATCAGTTCACCATTGCAGCGGACGAGTTGCCCATCGCCAAGGCCACGCTGCTTTATCTTAGAGAGTTGTGCATCGAATCGCGCCACCGGGCATCCGCTGCTCTCGCGACGCATGCCCCGGCGATAGCACCTTCTTCGGCCTCTACGGCTCCAGCTTCCGCGCCAAAGGCACCGACAGAGCTGGCGCCAGGTGAATGGCACAAGATGATCACCCGCTACAACAAGCAGCAGCTGGGTGGACGCGACCGCGCCTTCCCTGAAGCAGAGTTGGTTGGAGCAGAGGGCATCATAGCCAAGGCCCTCTTTGAGCACGAGGTTAGCAAGCAGTACACCGCGCTCCCCATCGGAGCCATTCTTCAGGCGCGGCGGTTTTCCTCCAGCGGCGAGCTCAACCCACTTTCGCGGCGCCGCTCGGAGACCAGAGTTCGTGTCACGGCCGAGGGCGAGTTCCAGACCGAGCAGGCCGAGGACTGTTGGGATCCTCGATCCATGCTCTCCGTGCTGGACGGGATGCGTAGCATTCAGTGGTTGTGGATTCTCATCCAGCTGGGGGATGAAGTTGACATCCTTCACTTCTTCAGCACCCTCGAGAAGAAGCTGCGGGGCGTGCCGAACAAGCTGCCCCAGTTTAAGGTGTACTACGAGACGGTGGCTTGGCGGCTGGCCCAAGCCATGCGGGCGAACACCTCCTTCCAGCAGGCCTCCAGGGAGATCCTCAGCGACACTATCCTTTGGCAGGAGACCATCGCCAAGGACGCTCCCTCTACAGCTTCGCCGTCAGCCGAGAAGAAGAAACGGACAGCCGAGACCGAAACCAGGGGCAGACGTACCAAGCTCAACAAGCCGCCGCCGACACCCACAGACTCCTCAGGCCGTCGCGCAGACCAGTCTCGCGGACAGCAGGGCTCCACCTGGAAGCGTGGATGGGACGAGCCCCCGGCCCACGACGGCAAGCAGCAGTGGTACCCCAACAAGACTTGGCGCCCCGACACCGCTTCCGGGGCCCACAAGAAGAAGGACGAGTGAGAAATCGTGGGGACCTCGCCTCGGCACGAGGGGGCGAGGGGACCCGACAGCCACGGTCGTCTCGTGCAGCAGCCTTTTTCTTCAGCGCCGGCACAGCCGCAAGTTAAGGCCATGCCGAAAGACCCCAGGAGTTTCAACAGAGGGGCGCCCGCTGCCACGAGCAGCGGCGCCCGCACTGAGCCCGGCATCATCCTGCTGTCCTTTTTCGACGGCATTGGTGTGGGGGCCCTGGCGACGCAGGACCACGCACGCATCGTCCAGATGTACGCCTGGGAGATAGACGAGTCTGCGCTGTCCGTTTGCGAGGCACACTTCAAGCAGGTGATCAAGCAGCGCGGGGATATCCGCAGCGACAGCGCCGCTGAGATTGCCAAGGAGATTGAGGCGTGTGACCCCGAAGCCATCCACACCATCCTGGTGTTAGCCGCGCCACCGTGCCCTGATTTCAGTCGAATCCATGAGGGCCCGGGAAAGGAGGGCGAGTCTGGGAAACTGTTTGGTCTTTTCTGCGACCTGCTGTCCTCGCTGGAAGCCCTCCTCAAGGGCCGGTCCATGGCACTCCTCGTCGAGAACGTGATCATGGCGTGCAGCGGTGACATCAACTACTTCTCACAGCGTCTTCGCTGTGAGCCGATCATAGTGGATGCGGCAGATTGGGGAGTGGTTCATCGCCCTAGGCTTTGGTGGACCAGAGTGGATTGGACTCGATGTACAGAGTTCAAGTGGACGCGCCAAGGCAGGCTGTATCGCCTGCATGCGCCGGTGCAGCCGCAGCGCGCAGCCACCTTTCAGCTGCGTGGGTACGAGCTCAGCAGAGAGATCGAGGCAGGCACGAAGCTGTGGCCGTGCTTCACTACACCATCCCCAACGGAAGCCGGCCGTCCAGCCCCGAAGTCCACACGGTCTAAGATCGACAGCGGCACTCGCCAGAGATGGCTCGAATCCAACAGGTCTTTCGCTCCCTGGCACTTCCAGGAGTACGCGATGGTCACTTCTCCAGGTGGCTCTTGGGAGGTGGTGCCCGTGCACCTGAAGGAGCAGGCACACCTTCTACCACCAGACTTTACCAGCGCAGCAGCCTCTGATCATGATCGACATCGGTTGCTCGGTAATAGCTGGCATCGTGGAACAGCCTCCTTTCTTTTGAAGCTTGTCCTTCAGCTAGGCGTTCACCAGATCGGCCAGGACGCTCCAGGAGGAGAGCAGCACAGCGCCGGCGGGACAAAAAGCTTTGAAAACATTCTCAGGGCTGCGCGTGAGCAGCCTTTGCCCCTGACGCGCCTGCGCGAGCCCGTCGGGGTTGAGATGTATCCGCCTAGAGACATGTGGGAGCACTGGCGCGGCAGCCCTCATGTCGTTCCTCGTGCTCTTCTGCCAGCGTCTGTTGAGCCTGCAGTCGCCATAACACTTCAGCGTGCTGCTCAGGTGGGCCCTCATCTTCCTGCACATCGCGAGGCAGTGTTGCAGGGCCTTCGGGCTCTCGTGGACAGTCTGAGTGACGAGACCGATGCTTGGTTTGCTCGTGTGGCCCCGCACGTCAGGTCAGCTCTTCACCCAGCTGGACAGCCGAGGTTTCAGGTACTCGCTTTTGTTAGTCTTCTGCGTGAGTGTGGATACGAGGGGGCAGACGAGATTCTGGAGTCTCTTGAGCGGGGCATGCCTCTGTTGGGCAGCATGCCTCATTCACCCGGGTGGCGACCTCGCACAGATGACACGTATCGGTTTCCTGTGAGCATCAGCGCATTTGCCACCGCCAACGCAGACTACATACATCGGTGTCTTAGGCGCCCGAGGGTTGACCCAGAGTGGCAGGCACTTTTGCTGGAAGTGGATCGCGAGGTCATCGCTGGCCGCATGGAAGGTCCTTTTCAGAGCCCGCCAGAGTGGCCCAAACAGACTGTCGATGCTGCAGCGGTCGGGCTCAGGAGGCTCCCGCTGCCCCCAGGACCTGTTTTCGTGGAGCCTTTAGCGTCTGCCAAACAGGCGCGGATGGCTCGCGGAAGGTGCGCCGATGTGAAGACTACCGCAGGTCATTTCATAATGCCACCATTCAAGCAGGAGATCGCCCTGAGCACGACGATATCGAAGTATATATTCAAGTGCTCCGCCTAGCTAAGCAGTTGGGTCTTCAACCTCAGGTCTGGTGCCATGACCTGGCTGACGCTTATCGGGCGTATCCAGTCCGAAGCCCCGAAGAAGCATACATGTTGTTGCAGACCATTTCAGGGCCGACGCTTTGGCGGCATCGGGTGCTGCCGTTTGGCAGCTCTGCATCTGTGTGGCACTTCGGTCGACTCACTGATGCCATGACGTGGCTCGTGCGTACACTTTTGCATATTTGCATGCTGCACTACGTGGATGACCTCGGTGGCATCCAAGATTCTCGTGATTCCCATTCAGCCTTTTCTGCTTTTAGTGAGTTTTGCGGTCTTTTAGGATATAGGCTGAAGTCGTCTAAAGCCCAGCCTCCCTCCACGCGGCAGAAGCTATTAGGGGTGATTCTTGAAATCATGGATGATGGGATTCGCGTGCGAGCAGAACCCAACAGAGTACAGAAGCTCATGAACCAGATTCGGGAAATCCTGGCTTCTGACGTCTTGGAGCCAGAGGTCGCGTCCAAGCTGGCCGGGAAACTGGGCTTCGTACAGAGCACTGCTTTTGGGCGCACAGGCAGCGCCGCTCTTCGACCCATTTTCGCCAGAGCCAACGCCTCAGCTCACTGCGATGTGAGCCTTAATACTGGCCTCCGGGGAGCATTGCAGAGCATGCTTCACATGCTCCACGACCTCACGCCCCGCTTCGTGCCCTTCGTGCAGGAGCGCGTCGTCGCTGTTGTCTACACCGACGCATTCTTCGAGCTGGGAGAACGAGTATGGAAGCCTGGTGACCCCGACATCCCCAACACGTCCTTCAAGCAGGCTTTTGAGTTCCGGAACGGGTGGGGCTTCGTCGTCAGGATAGGGAATCATGTGACGTATGGGCACGGATCTGTCTCGCCCACACTGCTGCGCAGATTTTGCCATCGCCGCGCTTACATATATTTTCTTGAAATATACGCGCAGCTAGTGGCATTTTGCATACAT